ATACAGCCATCAAATGAGCATGATGCTAACAGTATCGAACCGTAGCCTGGCAACAAAGGAAGGACAGAAAAACACTAAGGCTGCTAAATATAATTAGATTGTGTCAAAATTGATTTGTACTTTCTAAACATAAATCGATCTAGACTCATTTGGACATTTTACTTTTCAGTGCTACCTGCCAGCGTTGTTTCCAGCTGTTGTTGTTGGTCACTAGCTGCCATCAAATCTGTATTTAAACTTGCTTCTTGAAATTGGTTTTTCTTAACGTTATCGTTTACCCCAGGACCCGTTGGTTTGTATAAGTGTTTCCTGATACTCTCCGTATCGCTTCCAAAAATATTGTAAATCACAGACCTGGTGACCTGAATGATCACTACCTGCAGTTTAAATAGCATATTATTTAAACATAACCCTACAATTAAAAGTTATAAATACGGTATTTTGAATCATGGATCATGTCTTCTTCATGCGGAATCATTGTCCATATTTGTTCAGCTGGTTCTACGTAAAAGATAGATCCAAAAATTGCAGTTTCATAAATGAATATACAAAATTACGCATATGCATAAAAGCGAATAACTAAAGATCTCAACAAACACAAAGTAGATTAAAGAAACGCAGCAATATGCAGGGCTTTACCACGGGTCAGTACTATTTTTTCTGCGTAGTACTGTATCTGACGGAGCGGAAGCGTATGATTGTGTAGAGTATGCCGTTGCAATAGCGCTTTACAAGACGTTGATTATTAAGCTGTGTATTACGGAGATACTACTGTATTATGAGGGCAAATTTGTTAGCCTGACTGATCATGCTTTTTCTTCTTCAAGGACATATAGAAAATGTTCATTTTGCACCGGTATAGCAATACAAAGCTGGCCAAACATGATCATCATGTTCAGGGGGTAGCTAGCACATGACAGCATTCTTATCTACCACATTGATACAACGGTAATGTGAGACGGATGGAAGTCCTTACACCGGGAAATACACTGTCACACTGCGCGCCCCGTTGCTTCTAGTTGCCTTGGAAGACCATTTAAGAAGGCAACGGCTCCATAATATTTAAACGTCTGCAATGCATAGGATTCAAGACCGAGTCAAGAGTTCTGAATATGCGAATTTGTACGCTTAACTCGACAGAAATGAATGCGCCCATTACGTCATGCTTATTAACCCTCAGTCATTAGAAAAGAATTCCGATCGTACTAGTTTCAATGACGCGCAGAAAAGTGGCAGAAGGTTTCGGCAGTCAGCCCAACGCATTACCCTGTTCAAT